GCTGACCAAGCTCTGCACCGGGGCGGGGATGCTGCAGGAGTGCCACGGGGGTGCTGCAGGAGTGCCACGGGGATGCTGCAGGAGTGCCACGGGGGTGCTGCAGGGGTGCGTGAGGATGCCGCAGGGATGCCATAGGGATGCTGCAGGGATGCTGCAGGGATGCTGCAGGGGTGCCACAGGGATGCTGCAGGGATGCACAGGGATGCTGCAAGTGTGCATGGGGATGCTGCACCATTACAGCAACGTCAGAGGGAGCAGGGATGGCTTTTATGGCATGGATGTAGTTGAAAAGAGCAGGCAGGCGTTTAGGAGGGGCTTAAACGCCCCCAAATCCTCCTGTCCTCTCAAGACACCCTGCCGGTGGTGCTGGCAGAGGACCCTCTGCCAGCAGCACCCTTGTTCCAACGTGTCCCCTTGCACGTGCAGGGCTGAGTGTCTGCAGCGAGGGGTGTCTCCCTCCAAGGCGCACGGGCTCGGCTCCAACCTGGTGACGGAGGTCCGCGTCTACAACTGGTTCGCCAACCGGCGCAAGGAGGAGGCTTTCCGCCAGAAGCTGGCCATGGACGCCTACAACTCCGGCCAGCCCCCGCACAGCATGAACCTGCTGCTGTCTCATGGTTCCCCCCACCACAACCAGCCCAGCGCCTCACCTCCCAGCAAAATGCCAGGTGAGCCCTCGCCGAGGGTGCTCGGGCAGTGCCGTCGGGGCAGTTGTGGCACTGGCTTCCACTTCTGCTTGGGGTGCTGAGCCCTCGGGGCCGTGCAGGATCGGGGGGAAGATGGTTACCCTGGTCCCTGCTGCAGCTTGGAGGGGCCGGGGCGTCGCTGCAGTGTTATGGCCGGGCGAGCCACGTGGCGGGGGCTGGATTTCCGTCCTGCCAAGGATTAATCGGCGTTTGCTTGGTTGGTTTAATTCACTGGAGTCCCTGCGCAGGCTGGGCTGGGCGGGGAAAGGCTGTGCCCGGGGCAGGGAGGCAGGCTGACCTGGTGATGCTGGGCCCTTGGGATGCAGCCCACTGGTGAGCACTGGTTTCAGGGAAGGGATGCACAGGTGATGCTGCAAAGCCCGTAGGAAGACGTGGCAGCGTGTCCTGGTCTCGCTGCAGGACTGGAGCTGGCCCAGGCTGGGAGCACGGTGCTGCACCGTCCCCATGCCAGCGCAGAAGGAGGTGGGTGAAGAAAGCTGCTCATGGGGTGCAGAGCTCACCCCAACCTCCACCTCTCACGGTCCGGCCCCGCTGTGCGTGGTGAGGAGCCGACTGGGGACAGCAGACCTGCCGAAAACTCCCGGGGGGATTTGCGCAGGAGATAACGCCGCCGGGGAGGGGGCTGCGCACCCGGGGCGGCTAATCATAGCGAGGGGGGTGGCGCGGTGTGGGG